TGAACCCGATGAAATTTGACACCCACTGTATCGCTAGATTTCAAGGAAAAAGATGTTTAGTTTGAAGTTAGACATTCCTTAATTTTCAGTAGATTAATTAAGCCAAAATAAAATGCCAAATTCGATGTTTAATCAATTTGATTCTGTTTTTCGGCATCAGCGTACTTAACAACGGAGCGCCCTCAAGCGACAAATTAAGTCATAAATCAAGAACGATAACTGAAATTCACTAATATTGGAAGTAATTATCGGGGTAGTAAAGGATAGACTCGCAATTTTCCAAACTTTTTAAATTTAAAATTATAATTTTTAAATAGCTGTTTCGTTGTTCATTATCACTTTCTCTCCTAACGTTTGCTGTTTTAATTTTTTAAGGTTTCAATATCCATACCATTGTATAGATTTGTACTACTCATGTTCATAATATTTTCTCAATATATTGCCTATTAAATTAGAACAAGCCTGATTATTTCCAAATCATTGAACATATGTAATATATATGTCCTGATGCATAACCATGTGAAGTTTCAAGTCAATTCTCAAACACTGACTTATCACGGAAATTTGATTTTGCCTGATTCTTACGTGGACCTGTACTTAATTCTTTGAAAATCTTCTTCTCTACTCCTGGGTATTATTTAAACAAATACATGGTCATGATAAGCAAGGATGCCTTTTCCAATTTGTGAATTTCATGACCCCTGGATCAGAGGTTCTGATGTTAGGGTGGGACTCTATTTATTATATAGCGAAAATGCATTAATGCTTTAAAAATCTTCTTTGCACCTGGGCATATCAGAGGCAAAAAGAGTAAAAGTTTTAATAAGGAAGGGTATTTTTACCAGATTTTTGAACATCAAGACCTTTTGGTTAAGTGTTCTAGTCCAGGCCAGGGCTCTATTAATTTGTATTCTACTGAGAGGAGTTATTCCCCTTTGTCATTTACTTGTGATAATTAATCACTGTAAATAATGTACTTCAAAGGTTAATAGAATAAGAGAATTATGCAAGAATTTTTATTGTATAATACAAAAAGTACTTTCATAGTTTTAATGATCAGGTAGACTTGTCTTATTAAGGTTTTCCATCCCTAATAGGAACTAATTCTCTATCCTTAAATATCAATCACGTATATAATACTCTGATATAATTCAAAGAACTTTACAGTAGAAAAGGATTTGCCAAGTGAAAGTTTCAAAAATGTAATTAACTAAGCAGTATTTAATTAATAGAAATTGCATTGAAGTCTATGGAGACAAGCGATTTTTTTAAAATTAAAATTCAGATAATAAGAATATCAATAAATACTGTGGTGGAAAGATGCATTAAATCATTAGAAATAGAATGACAATTGAAAACAATTTTTACCGTATATTTTTTATTACTTAAAAAAAGAGGGAGATAACTCTTCAACAAAGGTCAAGTCATAAATTAGGACACTTCCATTCTTACATGCTAATAGTAATAAATGGAGATTATGTCTAAATATACTTAGTATTCCACTCGTACACATCTGTTATGTATTCAAATTCATTGAATCTGAGGCTATTAGGGATGGAATACCAGTACCTTAAATGTTCATCAAAGACCAAGAGTCTTACTCAGGCCAATGTAAGAGATTTCCACAAGGAATTAAAAGAGTACAGAAGCACTGATAGTTTCTTAAGAGCGAGTCTACGAGAAAATCATGCAAAAATAAAAATGTTACACAAGTCACATTAAAAAAAGATTATTTTAACTACATCATTTTAAAGAAAATGGACCTTAACATCTGTTGTGAAAAAATTTTCAACAAATGAATGCTCCTATTTGAGATAGCCCTGAATCTATTTATAGCTCTCTGGTGGGCTGGGATTTCAAGGAAAATTAAGCACTTTTATAAGCCCTTTAAAATGTCAAATAAAACAATGATTTTGGGTATTTTTATTTTCTATGTAGAATTAATAAGTATTAGTTTTTGTATGAAGTTAAATTTTATTTACCAGATCTTATTCATTTGGGAAATTTAAAAGGTTTTATTAAAGAAAATCTACTTGACTATTTATTTGTCTATGGGAGACACAGTGCTGTGTTTGATACACGCAGCTAGGTTAAGGCTGTCCGAAGGCTTAATATGCATTAAATATATACTATTTTATATTGAGCTATGTTTTGATGTCAATTTGTTATCTATGTATATATAAACAGTTAGGTTGTAAAGAAAGTTGAATAAGGTATTACAAAAAAGCATTTTTGTGATGTCACATGACTGTGTTGATCACGTGACGGACACGTATAAATTTTCTTAAATGTTGCACAAAAATCGCATTGGCACAAGTGAAAAACAAAATTATTGTGAACGGCTTGTTACATAAACCAATTAAACGTATTCTTGGGTATATATAAAGTGCTGAGGGCAAGTCTGAATTTTATTTCATAAGAAAATATTTCACGAGAAATTCAACTTACCCACATACAAGGGGTCATTTTCCACTCTTAATCGCAATTTATACAAAATAGGATAAATTACATACAATCCCCCAGCAAAATTCAGTTAGAAGACATATTTCTCTAGTAGATTCACACAGAATATATTCAATTAATCCTTATTATTCACTTGTGCCAGTCTAATATATATAGGATTTATAAATTCTAACTCTGTTTACAGACATGTTAGGGGGGCATTTCACATTTTTTTTTAATTGTTTGAATACGTACATGTTAGACAAGAAAAAGTAATAACGATATTATACTGCAAATATTCACCATCATAACAGCCTTAAGGGGATGAAGGACACATGGTCACATGACTTTGTTAAACTACGTCATAGTCTCCATTTATATAAGTGCAAAACGTGTAATGCATCAGTTCTTGTATAAATTTTTGACATTTTTTTTTCTTTAATTACCATCTTATATTAAAAAAATAAAAAGTTTAACCTTCTTGTAAACATTAACAAATTATGAAAAAAGATTGATCCACTCCTCTGTTTCTTTAAACTGCGCGTCCAACAAGTCGGTGACGTCATACACGATCTGCTAGTACAGCAAGATCATACTCGGTGAATACAAGGGCGGTATTATTATGTAAAAAGAGGTCGTACATGTAATCAGTATATGATGAAGTATTTTGAGAAACGGGGAACACAAAAATTATTTTTGCATGGCTGATGACGGAAATCTTATGTAGGTATATCTTATTTCGCTTATTTAGCTTACGTGTGACGTCATAGTTGGTTTTTCCCGTACTCGAGAAATGTAAACATGACAAGTTTTTGACCTGCTTATGTCGTCTTAAACGATGTCCTGTGCAATATTGAGGTCAGCTTCACCATTCGAAATTTTTACAGTTAATCAATAATTTGAAGGACTTGCATTTCAACGTAAATTTAAAAATATTGAATGATAGGATTTTTTGTAAATTACGTTTTTTGTTGTTTAAGTTGTCTTAAAAAGTTCGTAATTTTCCCTATCCAGATGCAGTGTGATAGATGAAACTTGCCTTTTCGAATTTTAACCCCAATTCATACTCTGAAATATTTTAAAAGATACATGTTCACTTACATATTTTTTATATATGCTTTAAAAATTCAATTATGGACAGAGTAATGAGACCGGAAACATGGAGAATTAAAACACCACTTAGATACTGTAGGGCATAATATTTGTCAATCAATATCTCTAAAATAAGGTAAGAAACCTAATGATATAACTGCTTTAAGATATGTGGGACATACTTAATAAGAAATATACAAAATATAAGAAAAATTGAATGACAAGTATTTTTTCAGCTAAAGGTCCTTCTTCCCCTTAAAACAACAATCCAGACACATGAATTAAACATCAACGTAAAAAAAATTCTACATGTGATGTTAAAGGAATGTAAAAGTTATGACACTTTCCCCGTCATGTCAGCTCAAGTATGCAGTGACTTGACGTCATATGCCATTATGACGTCATATCTAGGTAGTTCAGAAAAGTTACTACGGCTGGTACACTGTGACATTCTTCGGACAGCCTTATCCTAGCCGCGCAACGGGTGAACTTTTGTTTACATTCATTTATCTGATTTAACGTGAATTGTTACACATTATCTTTCAAGGAATTTCTTGGATTTACGATAGGTCTCAAGAAATACACCTTTGAAACTCTTTAATTTTTTTTTTTCGGAATTATCGATCTTTTCGAACTCTTCAGTGCATGAAGGGAAAAAAGCCATTGTTTACATGGAGGGAAAATGGCAGCGATGTCGTCTGGGTGTGTGATTTTGGTTGTGAAGAAAAGGCGATATATTATTTGAAAGACTGTGTAAAACAAACCTTTCACCATCTCAGATACCTAAATTCGAATTCTAAGGGTATAGATCTGCCCGAAAGTTATCTAATACAGAGCAGGTGTTAATGTCATCACGTTAGCACAACTAGACAAGAAAATTTGCCAAAAACACAGAGAAACGTTTGGCCTGTACTGGAAACGGAGCAAGCGATCTTGTGTACATCCCTTTCATGGAAAATCTAAAACAAAACCAGACAGAGGCATCACACCAGTTATGAGTCGGGAACTTTGGTTGCGTCTACAGCTGTCAGTCCGGATAGGCGAAGGTAAATAAGAAATTTGTCCAAATCTACATTTTTTTTCAAATGTCACATGTACTGAATGTCTTTGAATTATTATTATTATTATTACATTTATGTTTTAAATTTTCCCAAGAACAAATATTGAATATATATACCTAAACTTGCTACTTATTTAGTTGAAAGTTTATTGCAACAAAACAACTCGACACCAGAAACACAAAATATGATGTATTTTACTGTAGAACATGTAGAATGAATACATAGATTAGTATTCCCCGAATTGTCACTAATTTTCCAAGTTTTAATGACCCAGACTCTAGGACAGAAAAGTGGGTATGAGAGCCCTGGTACAAATGTTTACCCTGCAATCACCGCTTGCATTGACCTAATAGCACCGATCGATAACTCTTGAGTGTGCTAAATATAACTCAGTCCCACAATGCATTACGCGCGTCGCCATACTTTCGGACAATAACATCATGGAGGTGTCTGAGGTGGACAATGTATTAGCAGTTAATATTAGCGAAAAACACGAACGCAGAGGTGCAACTAAGCATTGTGCTTATGGTCTATGTAAAAGTGACTCTAGATATATGGGTAGACTAGGTATGGAAGGCGTTTTCTTCATTCGCTTTCCACAATTTCATCGGGAACCGGAGAAATGTACTCGATGGGCCAGTGCATGTCGACGAGAGCATTTTACTGCTTTGTCAGTAAAGAAGGATACATATATATGTAGTTTGCATTTCAAGGGCGGTAGAGGCCCCACGGAAGAATATCCTGACCCAATTCCGGCAACAGCTACCAAACATGAGGTAAACACAGCTGATCTGACCTACATGTAAAAACTTTTTTAAAAGGCCGACATGTCAATGTTTATGGTATTATGTTCATTAGTCTAAAATATCACACTAAGATTATAGGTAGATACATGCGAATTTAACAAATATTGTGTACCCTGCACTACAATAACGTATATATCATATGCCAATAGGGTTGAAATATGTGCTATATTCTAATAACATATCACTGTTATAAGTAAAGTGTGGCATTTTATCATAATTTAAAAACAAATCGCTCTCAACAGAGTTGTTGACAATACAAGTAAGACGTTCATTCTCAATCATGGAAATGTGTGTGCGTGCATGTAATGTTTGCTTCATAGAACCTATATTGTCATGTAAAATTCCCAAAAATATCAAGAGTAAATAAGTAGTGGGTTCATATTGTCGAATATTTTTTATTTATTTGATATCATAGTACCACTATGCCAAATTATATACATATCTAGAAAATTTAAATTCTTATCGATATATTTGTTTTTAGCTTGAAAAATTTGTCAGAAGCAAAAAGAGGCCGTTAGTGCGAAAACATTTGACATGGTCACCAGAACCCAAACGCAAGAAGAGTGATTTGGTGAATATAGACATTGTTGAAACGAAAGCTGCTAGTGCACCGTCAGATGAGGATCATTGCACTACTAATCATGATACAGTCCAGGCAGCAGAGGCATTATTAATGTTGCAGAATTCTGAAAGTGAACAAGTGAGTTAAACTTTGAGGGTTTTTAGAAATTTTCTGTATTGTATCAACAGACATTTGCTATCTCTCATTCTCTAAGGTATATATTTTTTAGAGGTGTGTCTGGTCAAATGTGTACTGGCTCTTCCATCTAAATAATAAGTTGTATATAAATACTAAATTATTTTTACAGTGACAATACATTTTCTCCCACTTTGTTAAAAATTGAAATGTATTAAAACAACAAAATGCTTTCATTGTTGTTTCATTACTCAATATAATGGTAAGTTTGTTGCAATAGTTGTGAAAAAATATGCAGGTGATGCAGTTTTTCTACAATGCCTGCAACTGATTTGCTTACATGATTCAACAAAGAAATCATTTAGCATTCAATTAATCCTGATCAGGTAGGTTTAAGTTAAATGTAAGGTCTTCCATCTCAAGTTCTTTTTTCATGTAAAAGTTTTCAGTGGTTGACACTTACCAAGTACCTGTATGTTTAAAAGAAGTTGATCTTTGAAGGAGTAAGAGTCAAAACTTATTTTATTTTGCAGGTAAACATTGTTTCTGATGGGCAGAAAGGTCTAAATATCCAAGATCCATATTCCATGTTAAAGAATTCATGTGATGAAGAAACCCAGACATCATCTTGTTGCTTAACCTTGAATGAATCTTTAGCATTAAAATTAGAAAATTTTTATTTAAAAAGCAAGATTTCTGAACTTAAAAAAAAATGTATACAGTCAAAGACATTTTCCATTGCTGATGTGAAAGCTGATGACAAGAAAATGATATTTTACACTGGTTTAACTTATGGGCAATTTATGTGTTTGTGGAAATTTCTGGGACCAGCCACTAGAAATCTTTTTCGAATAAATAATATTATATGAGGAAATTTGAGCTTACACCATCTAAGTCGAGGGGACCAAAGAGAAAATTGTCACCAGAAGATGAACTTTTCCTTACACTGGTTAGACTTCGCCTCGGATTATTGCATACCGACTTAGCCTATCGTTTTGGTGTTTCAGTTAGTACTGTCAATGACATAACTTCAACATGGATACAGTTCTTATATTAACAGTTTAATAGACTACGAAGTGCTATGTTTCCATCTAGAAAAATAATTGGCAAGCACTTACCAAAGTCCTTCAGAAAGTATAGAAAAGTACGTGTAATATTAGATGCTACTGAGTTTGTTACACAAGTGCCTAGAAATTATGAGCAGCAGGGTAATCTTTACTCTTCTTATAAGAATCATTGTACTTGCAAAGTTCTGATAGGAATAACACCTTCAGGTGCAATATCGTTTGTATCTGATGTGTTTGAAGGGGCAATTTCTGATAAGGAAATTTTCAAAAAGAGCAAAATTATGGATAAAATCAATCCAGGTGATCTGGTCATGGTAGATCGTGGATTTAATGTTCGAGACATTTTGTTGCAGAAAGGTGCTGATATTGTAATCCCACCATTTTTGGGCAATAGAACCAATTTGTCACAAGAAGAAGAAGCGCAGACACGTGTTATCGCAAAATTACGAATTCATGTTGAGAGGGTAATAGAACGCATAAAAAAATATGAAATTTGTAAGAAAATTGTACCTTTGAACACACTGTCAACTTTCTCCCAAACAGTCTTTATTGTTGCATGTTTGGTAAACTTTCAGAAACCAATAGTCAAATAAATGTGATGAAAACTATTGTGATTTCAATGTAGATTTTGAAACTGAATAATCTTTGTCAGAAGAAATTAATGAATTTGATTTTTAACCATTTTCTGTGGCATTTTCAGGATTTTCTTGATATTGTTGGTTTAATCTTTAACTGATCAGAAAGATTACCAATACCTGTATGCACTTATTTACTTATCTGTGAATTTGCAAAATAAAACAGTACACAAGAATGAATGAAAACTTTGTTTTATTATGTACAAACGTAAACTAATACTTAAACTGTATAATTTCAAGTTCACGAGGTAGCCGCATGAGGAAAAATTCTGGAACAAGATATTCTCTATGAAAAGCCTCAAGTTGAGGACACATGTAAGACCACAAGTCATTACTGACAGATATTCTCTCCACTGACATACCCTTTGGAGACCAGACAACAAAGTCGCAAACGTCTAATTCACACAAAGCTAACTGCATTTGAATCTGATAATAGTATTTGTGATTTCTTTTGAGTCTCAAATTTCCTTGATTATCTTTAACACAACAAAAATTTCTACATTGCTTTGTTGACAGATTGTCTATGAAATTCAAGGGATTACAATTTCTAAGCACATATGGGCATTTGATCTCAACTAGACCCTTTGTTTCATTTAATTTATCAATGAATATTCCATCAGGACTACATCCAAGAGTAGGGTGTTTTGGGTTCAACCACAAACCCGTTTCCTGCACATTGTAGTTTGGATGTTGTTGTCTGTAATGTGCAAGAGCATCAGATTCATGTTCACTCCCATACAGTAGGGCTGCTGTTATAGGGGAAACTGACCACAGAAGTCTATTGACTAGACTCGTAATACCTGTTCTGACACATTTGATATCTTTCGCATTTGATGCTGTTACCCTGCACCATCTATTTACCTGCCAGTTCAGAGATAATGCCTGACCTACTGTGTTATCAACTACAAATGGGGAACATTTATCAGAACACATTTCTTTTAAATTATCAATAAATTGTCTACATTGAATCTTTAGAATATCTACACCATAATCATCTATGCTGAAATTTTCATAATGAAAATCTAATAAATTTGTCCATCCACATTCTTGTCCATTCATGACTAAATTTGATAGAAATTCATTTTTCTGTGCATTTGATACATCATTCTCCCTCAGTTCTTCAGGTCTTGGATCAGAGTTTAAGATATTTTTGACTGAGGTTTTTTGACGTTTAAGAGTTTTTTTCATGGACTTGTATTCCTTGTTGAAAATTGTCTCAGGATTCTTATTTTTTCTTCTACCTTTGTTCCACTGTAGTAGTTTGTCTGTGCAGGTAGGCAAGTCGGTCCCAAATTCAATAGTGTAGTCCTCCAATGTAAACAACAGAGCTGCAACATGAGAACATCTGCCCAAGCCAGAAGCAGAGCAAGTGCATGTTCCCTCTAATACTGATCCTGATGATTCGGATAATGTTATTGTACAGTTGTAGAAATGTTGTGAGTAGGAAGCCAACACTGTTGCTTTAACAAAATAGTGTCCTTTACAACTGACATCATGTATGTTTTTCACATGACCACTCCTAAAAAGATTCATACCCTTAGTAAATGGTTTGCTAGTATGTACATCATCTTGACAGTCATCATCAGAGCTGTTTGAGTCACACTCTACTGATGCTACTGATTCCACAAGGTAATAGTAGATATACCCATGATTAAAATGTTTTGGTATAGACACAGATGGAAATTTCTTCCAGCCTTGAATTGGAACATAGGGAACTTGGGATGCAGCGGGTGTTGGATTCTTTTTAAGTTTCAGCCATTTACCATCGTCAACTTTCAGATCAATTTTAACATTGTTGTTTACAGCATTCTGGCATCTGCATAATATTAGGAAAGTCATTTAATGGCCAAAAGGTCAAAGCGTACATGTTTTGTTTTTGTTTTTTGTAGATTTAATCATTTATTAATTTAATTGAAACGAAACATTACTGAGAAAAAAATGTTAATAATTTATTGTTTACGTTAATGTTTCAATCGTGATACTCGTGGTTTTCGCTGTTTGCATAAAACATTATCAAACATTGGGTACCTTTCTATCAAATCCGGTCGTTTTCCAGAAGTAGGAAACCCACGACATTTCAACCATCTTTTTAACTGAATATTTGTGTGTTCCTCTACCGACGCGTGAACAAACTTTGCCCCGGGAATGTCCTCTTCTAGTAACAAATCAGCCGCCATCGTAACTTTTTGTCCGAACCGACTACAGCGCCTCTAGCGAGAAACTAATATTAATTTATGCGCATAAATTATGACGTAAATTTCTATCGGTGCTATCAAGGTAATCTAGTAAAGTAAAACAATATTCGGTCAATGCCCTAATAAAGCCTTTTGCATGTATTCCCACATTTTAAAAGCATTGTGACGTCAAAAATATTGCAATGTTTATGCCATGTGGCGTTTTAGTTTCAACTGCAAAAAAGTGCCTAAATCGGTTTAATGAAGCTCGTTTTGGAGGTCAGATGTAAAAATACATTGCAGGATAAACAAAATATATGGTTACTGTCTTGATCGATAGATAAACAATATTTTGGCTCAGGTTGAAAACGTAATTTAAGTCGGGCTATTTTTAGTCAGTCGGTTGGGAGAGGGCAACCAAACAATTTTTTAAAGATGGCCTAACCATGTATGTATTTATTTGATTCATATTAATTATATGTGAAATGTTACTAAGGTCAGCCAAGTCTAGTAAGCCATGATGTTGAAGTACATGTACATGTAAGGTCTTGTGAATACATGTATCAGGTCAGGTTGATAAGATATTTTGTACCAAAAGCACATACTGAGCCAAGACCCCATTTTACAAAAGAATTTAAAACTGAGACCAAAATATGTTTAAAGACTAAGACCCAGATATGTTTTTTTGCAAATTATTGTGTACATTAAACTTTTCAAAAGTATAAGCAAGATGTTAGAAACACTTACATTTACTGATCATGATTTCTTTTGTAATAGCACCCATGTATATGTAAATCAGTCATGAAGCTAGGTCTTAATTAGCTAGAAACCATAGCAAAACTGACCAAGTATTCATAAAGAAAACAGAAAACCTTATTCATGAGGACACATATTAATAATTCTTTTTAAATGTCTTATTTTAAGCTGTATGCAGAACATGTGTTTCTAAACACAAAGCAGATCTCGGTCTTGGTGAACAAATTGTGGAAGAAATAAAAGGTAATTACTTTTATTAGTATATCATAAATATTTCCAGTTTATTGGCATTAGGGATGGATCCATGTTTTTTTTTCTGTTTTTGGTGGTTGGAGTTGGGGGGTTATGGATTGACCAAATTATGCATTCCAAACAAGACAAGTAATATGGGATGTGTCCCTCATTATATACAGGTCCATGTTTGCACCGCTCCTGATTTGTATTGTTTGAATGGACTTTTGAGCTTGAATACTGTTTGTTATCTCCATATATTTCCTTTTCACTTAGACAGAGTTGAGCAGCTGACCATGTCAACTAGTGCCTCATTACCTTCACCTAATCTGAGAGACTGCACTGAAGTCAATGGTATGTTGTTTGTGAATGGTTTCCTTAAACTTTCAGACTATTTATGCAAAATTTTTGATTAAAAAACATTTATATTTTTAGGTCACCTGAGTTTTTCAGGTGACATTTTGCTATCAATTTTTGTCTGTAGTCCTTCCTTTGTATTGCATTGGCAATTTTTATGCCCCACCATGAATATGGCCGGGGCATATAGTGTTTGTCATGTCCGTCTCTCGTCCTTCTGTCACACTTTGCGTTAAACTCTGTTCAAAGCTCAGTTTCAAAGATCAGTTTGATGAGAGCTATGCAACTGCATCAACATTTTTTGACCTTGACCTTTCCTTTGACCTTGACCTCACTTTTCTTAAATTAGTGTTTAGCTCAGTTTTAAAAATACCATTCAAGATAGTGTAATCAAACTTCATATGTTGATACATACTGATGTAAGCTATTCAACTGCATCAACATTTTTTGATCTTGACCTTTCTTTAGACCTTGACCTCACTTTTCTTAAATTAGTACTAAGTTTAGCTCAGTTTTAATGAAACCATTCAAGATATTTTTAACAAACTTCATATGCGGATACATACTGATGAGAGCTATTCAACTACATCAGTATTTTTCTACCTTGACCTTTCCTTTGACCTTGACCTCACTTTTCCTAAATAAGTTTTAGCCCAGTTTTAAAGATGCCATTCAAGATAGTGTTATCAAACTTCATATGCTGATACATAATGATGAGAGCTATTCAACTGCATCAACGTTTTTGACCTTGACCTTTCCTTTGACCTTGACCTCACTTTTCTTGTGTTTAGTGTTTAGCTCAGTTTTAAAGAAACCATTCATAATATTTTTATCAAACTTCATATGCTAATACATACTGATGTAACCTTTTCAACTGCAACAACAATTATTGACCTTGACCTTTCTTTTGACCTTGATCTCACTTTTCTTAAATTAGTGTCAAACTTCATATGCTGATACATACTGATGTAAGCTATTTAACTGTATCAATATTTTTTCACTTTGACCTTTCCTTTGACCTTGACCTTACTTTTCTCAATTTGTGTTAAAATGTTGCATTATTAATATACCCTCGGCGGGACATTCATGTCCTATGGACATATTTCTAATTTTCAAGTATTTTCAGCTTCTTTTGTGACAGACTGACAAACGATTGAGATTTAATGTCTCCTTGCTTTCACAAAAGTGGGAACAAAAATCTTTTTCTAGCAGGCATATTGTTTGTATGATAATAATGAATAGTTAGCACACTACAAAAATTATGAAATTCATGTATCCCAGGTCAAATGCAAGGCCCAGAGAGGGGCTAAATTTGTCATATATTGAAATTTATCAAATGGTAAACCTTGCATGGTTATGATGAGCAAGGATACCTCTTCCAAAATTATGAAATTCATAGCTCATATTTTTTTGCCCTTGAGTATTTAGCAAACGTATTTAGTACATGGTTATGATGAGAAAGAGTGATTAGTTTTCTGAAAG